GACCCCCACACACCCAGACACCCACACACCCCCCAGACACACCCACCCACATAGACACACACCCATCTCCAGACACACACCCACACCCATAAACACATCCATCCCCCGACACACACCCATCTCCACACACACACACACACACACACACACACACACACACAGACACACACACAGACACCACTCCTGCAACTCCCATTGATCAACCCACCCAACCAGACACACACCCATCCCCAGACAAACCTAGACACGATACACACACCCATCCAACCACCCCATCCACCTATCCATCCCCAGAAACACCCACCCACCCTCAGATACACACACCCATCCAACCACCCCTGACCAGACACACACACACCCATACACCCACCCATCCCCAGGCACACCCACCCATCTCCAGACACACCCACCCATCCCCAGGCACACCCACCCATCTCCAGACACACCCACCCATCCCCAGGCACACCCACCCATCTCCAGACACACCCACCCATCCCCAGGCACACCCACCCATCTCCAGACACACCCACCCATCCCCAGGCACACCCACCCATCTCCAGACACACCCACCCATCCCCAGGCACACCCACCCATCTCCAGACACACCCACCCATCCCCAGGCACACCCACCCATCTCCAGACACACCCACCCATCCCCAGGCACACCCACCCATCTCCAGACACACCCACCCATCCCCAGGCACACCCACCCATCTCCAGACACACCCACCCATCCCCAGACCCACACATCTATCCCCAGAAACACCCACCCACCCTCAGATACACACACCCATACAACCACCCCTGACCAGACACACACACACCCATCCACCCACCCATCCCCAGACACACCCATCCACCCACCCCTCCCTAGACATATCCACCCAACCATCCATCTGCCCATCCACAGACACACCCACCTATCCACCCAACCATCCCTCCCCAGACACACCCACACATCCATCCATGCATCAGCAGACACACCCATCCATCTGCCCATCAGTCCTCAGATATACCCACCCACACATCCACCTGCTCCTCCCCAAACATACCCATCCATTTACCCATTTGTTCATTCATCACCAGACACATCCACCCACTCTTCCATCCCTAGATGCACCATTCCATCCATTCCCAGATACACACACACACCTACCAATCCACCCATCCCCAAATACACACACACCCACACACACACATCCCCAGACACATCCACCTATCCATTTCCAGACACATCCACCTATACATCAGCCCTTCCATCCATCTCCTGACACAAATACACAGCCCTCCCTCCATCCTCAGTCACATCCACCCATCCATCCCCAGACACACAGACACACCATCCATCTCCAGAGACATCCATTCACCCACCCATCCATCTATTGCCAGAGAACCCACTCGTCCACCCATCCATCTATTGCCAGACACACCCAACCATCCATCCGCCCACCTACCCATCCATTCATATATCTATTCAGCCAGCCACCTGCCCACCCTTCTCTCTATCCAACCATCCATCCACTGATCATAACCCACACCATTATAGGAAGGTCTGGTCCCAACCCACTTCACAGCTCCAATCTATCTCCATTGAGGTTCTGATGGGCACAACATCACAAGTGAAATAGCAGACGTGTTCCAAGGATACACATGCTATTTTCAGAGGAGGAACACACAGCACAGGTCATGTTACCCTTTTGGCACAGTGCATAAACCTCTAAAATGATGTAACCATGGAGAGCTCTGCTGCCAGGTACAGGGAAGTCAGTCTCACAAAGTTGGGTGACTCACCTGGAGGTTTAGGTGTAGAGGTGAGATGTGTAGAAGTCACAATTGAGGAGATACTTTCTCTGGAGGTGGCATGGGTTGTGACTGTCGATGTCAGGGGCAGAGAGGTGGTGACCAGAGTGGTGGCAGTGGATGCCTGGGGGGTGCTAGTGGTGTCCAGGGTTGAGGAAGTGCCAGTTGCAGTCAAGGACGTTCTCTCTGGGGTCATGGTGGTGTGATCTGTGCTCATAGTGGATTCCACTGATGTGGTGGTTGTTACATCAGATGTCATGGCAGTTTCCACTGACGTGGTGACATCCGGGGTAGTGGTGGTTTCCACTGAGATTGTGGGGGTGACATTACTGGTCATGGTGGTGCCCGTTGACGTGGTGACATCCGGGGTAATGGTGGTTTCCACTGAGATTGTGGGGGTGACATTACTGGTCATGGTGGTGCCCGTTGACGTGGTGACATCCGGGGTAATGGTGGTTTCCACTGAGATTGTGGGGGTGACATTACTGGTCATGGTGGTGCCCGTTGACGTGGTGACATCCGGGGTAATGGTGGTTTCCACTGAGATTGTGGGGGTGACATTACTGGTCATGGTGGTGCCCGTTGACGTGGTGACATCCGGGGTAATGGTGGTTTCCACTGAGATTGTGGGGGTGACATTACTGGTCATGGTGGTGCCCGTTGACGTGGTGACATCCGGGGTAATGGTGGTTTCCACTGCGTAGTTTCTCGCGAGGTAATGGTGGTGTGATCTGTGATCATAGTTGATTCCACTGATGTGGTGGTTGTTACATCAGATGTCATGGCAGTTTCCGCTGATGTGGTGACATCCGGTGTGCTTGTGGTTTCCAGTGACATTGTGGGGGTGACATCAGGGGGCATGGTGGTGCCCGCTGACGTGGTGACATCACTTGAAGTTGCCGTTTCTGCTGTGGTGGTGACATGTGAGGACAGGGTGGTTTCTCTCGAGGTAATGGTGGTGTGATCTGTGTTCATTGTTGATTCTACTGATGTGGTGGTTGTTACGTCAGATGTCATGGCAGTTTCCGCTGATGTGGTGACATCCGGGGTGCTGGTGGTTTCCAGTGAGATTGTGGGGGTGACATCAGGGGGCATGGTGGTGCCCGCTGACGTGGTGACATCACCTGAAGTTGCAGTTTCTGCTGAGGTGGTAACGTGTGAGGACAGGGTGGTTTCTCTCAAAGTAATGGTGGTGTGATCTGTGTTCATTGTTGATTCTACTGATGTGGTGGTTGTTACGTCGGATGTCATGGCAGTTTCTGTTGACATGGTGACATCCGGGGTAATGGTGGTTTCCAGTGAGATTGTGGGGGTAACATCAGGGGGCATGGTGGTGCCCGCTGACGTGGTAACATCACCTGAAGTTGCAGTTTCTGCTGAGGTGGTGACATGCGGG